CTGGAATTACTAAGGTGTTTTGATTATATTATTCTAGATGTATGATAACTGCATCAGTGATTTATTTAATTCAATAAATTCAACATTAAAAAAACTTCACTTTTTGCAAATTCTAGAAGTTAATATCAAATACAATCTTAATAAAAAATTTTAAATATTTAAGGAAATATTTATAATCATCAAAAGCCTACGACTGAGTTAGCATTTTGGTTGAAATATTTTTCTTATACAAGGCTTTTATAAATGTATTAATACCACACACATTTGTGTGTGTGTGTGTAGACATCCAAGAAAACTTGATATATTTTTTTTCAAATTTAAATAGGGTGTATCCTTTCATTAAAAATTCTCCTGAAAGAGTTGGATCATCTCCAACAATTAAAAATTAATTATTAAAAATGGCCTAATGTTTTCAGTGTTTCAACAAAATCATCTAAATTGCTCTCAATAATTAGTATTTAATTCAATAATACTTTAATTAAACACTTATAATCTGATAAAATTTAAAACTAGATTAATCAAAAGATTATTATTAGAAACTGTTGTAATGACAATTATTAGTTTGAACAATTTAAAACTAAGAATTGCAATTATTTGTCTTTATACTTAACAAAAAAATTTTGTCAACCTTTTCAGATTTTAATTCAGCATATCAGCATTATAAAGGAAAAATATCACAAAATACAATATATAAGAATTTTTATTATTATTATTACATTAAAAATATAGGAATATTTTAAAAGAAAATTATACTTGAAATATTTAAAATACTAATTTTTATTCTCTTTATTTAAATATTATTATTAATTCAATGCTAATAATAATATTATTATTAAGTAGTAGATGAAATTGTAAAATTTAACAATGTCTTATCTTTTTTACATTTTAAAATAGTTACTCCATTGAATATGTAAAAATTCTTTGATTAAAAAAAACTTTTAGAAGGGATAAATTTTAACATTAAAACTGGTCTTTTAGACACTACTTTTGAATTATTTGTATCATAAGCTATGTTTGCTTTTTTAAATAGTTTTAAATAATAATTTCTTTGTTTTATTTTAACATACATTAACAAAATAATCATTTCTGAATGTGTTAACTCGTGTTAAAATAATTTTATATAAATAAATACATATTATTATGAATACACAATAATAATGTTAAGTCTTTAAGATCTAAAAAAAACTCAGTGCATTAATTATTTAAATAAAATTCTTTATCTTAAAAATTTTAAACAGTAATTTATCATCAAATTTGAAAATTGGCATATTTTCTGTTATAAATTTTACAATGACTAAGACAAAACCTTTCTCACTTTGTTTCTAGCCATTTACACACTGAGTACAAATGTTTTTGGCCTTCTTAATAGGCCTTCTTCAGGTACACTGTGGTCTGTTAAATCATCAGTTGGTAGATATTCAAACAATGTCACTGTTTACATAAGTTTTGTCTTACCAGTGACATCATCGTTGTTGATAAGGTTTAGAAGATACTGAGGGCATTAAATTTTCTTTTGATAAAATATAAGGTGTGCGGACAGTTCTTGATGGGATAATTGCTAAATCTGGGGAAAATAAAATTGGAAAATACACGTGCTAAGTAAAGAAGATGCACTAGAGACTGACAGGCTTGCCTACCTAGATAGGGGTTACTGGGAGTGACGTCATAGTTGATAACGGAGTATAGACAATGTTGACGCCGTTAATTAACCTATGATGCAATAAGAAAAGGCGTGCGAACGACCATAGATGGGAAAGGTGCTACACTTGGAAAGCAGAATTGGAAAATAAACACGGCAAGTAAAAAAACGCACTAATGGTTGCAAGACTTTCAGTGAAGGTGGGTTGGTCTATATAGTTTAAGGGGTTGTCTTAGTCATTTTAAATAGTTCTAGCTCCAAATGTATAGAAGTATAAATTTTACCTTCTAAAGCTAGAATATATTATAAAAATCTTTATCAATGCTAATTTTGAATTGGTTTTATTTTTAAAATCAAAAGCATGATGTGCAAATTTAAGACAGAAAATTATATTTAGAAATTATTCAACCACGTCAGATGATATATAGGCTATAAATATAATAAAATAGAATTTTGACACAGTAATTAAGACAGAATCATCTCTGCTTTTTAGTTACGAAACAAAAATTATTTCCATATAATACATAAATAAGGTCAATTTAATCCTTAACAAGTGTAAGGTATTGTAGGAGTCGATATCAAATAATTCCGCTGATACAGATTAAATAAATAACTATAGACAACGTTGATAAATGTACTTAAGTGGTTTTGGATGTTTTCATAATAAGCAGACTCACTTGACCTCAAGCTACTATATCTTGCTATTTGAAATCCAAGAGAAACGCAATATAAACAAATTTTGATAAAAATAAATATTTAAAACTAATTTCTGATTTTTATATTTACAGGCGATTTTTGTAATTAAATAATTTGCGTAATTGGACTCTGTTGGAAGGAGCATTTTTCTTTATTCTTCTCTCGTTAAGAGCGCGACTAAAGATCAAAATCTAATAAGTGTATTTGATTAAATCTTGAAAAATCTTCAGAAATCAATTTTAGAATTTTAAATTAAGTTTTTCCTTTATTTTTACTAGAAATTATCAAGGCAAATAATTAGCTTTAGATGCTATTTACTTATTTACGTACAGTACTATGTAAAAAGTTAAAATACTAATTATAAACATAAGTAATGTTAAAGTTTTAAAAATTTGAATTCTAATGATGTGTTTGAATGATAAATTATTAAGGAAATATTTTAATGAAAAAATTATACCGAAAACCTCGTTTATAATTGAAGAAAAGACCACGATATTTCATGTAATGAATTATTGATGTTTCAATTTTTCATGTGTAAGATCATGAAAAATAAATAGGTCTCACGATCATTTTTCTTTAAACAACTTTATTTGGAGCGTTTTAGGGAATTTCACTATTCTTAGAAACTCAAATCCTCTAGAAAGGATAGGAAGTGAGTAGATTTGTTAAAATTGTAGGACCAGATAACACTTGTTAAATAATATTTTAATAAATCTGAATGTCAAAAGTGCAATTTTTTCTAAAATATAAAATAATAAAATATCTCAGTTTTGTAAATGAGGTACATTTCACTTAAGATACATATTGCATTTGAAAATGACTCAATAAATTCAATTGTTTTAGAATTAATTAAAAATTATTTGCTGTTGTCATTTTACTAATGACTAACAGTAATGTTAGCAAAATGTAATTTCAACAGAACCTTCAAATTAAGCAATAATCCAAAAGTTCAAATATTTTGTTTTCATAAAATTCTTAGCTTAATCAGCACAAATATCAAATAAATAATCTTTGGAAGAACAAATAAGGCTATGATAAAATGATAAAGAGAAGTTTCGTGAAGTTTATTACAAGAAAAAAATATTATCATCCATATTATAAAAGGTGAATATCATCATAATCATTCTTTGTTTACAGCAGATATTTTAATTTTTACAAGAGAAAAGCATAAATTTATCAAATTATAATTTTTTATATTTTAAAATATTTTGTTTTATATTGCGATGGACAAACTTATCATCAAATCTTAGTAACAGAATTAAGAAACTAATTTTATTTAATAAAAATATATNATTACTGGTACTGTACACAAATTTAAAATAAATAATTTAAAACAAGAAATATGAAGTATGCATATAAATTTAACAACTAAAATCATTTACAGTCATCAATAATATCTACAATTTAACAACAAATGAATAATCATCTAACTTAATTTATGAAAAAATAATAGTTGCTATATATATATAATGCAGACAAAGCTAGAACTTTAAATCAAATCTATGTAATCTACCAGTTACACTACCCTAAGTTAGCATAACTCATGACACATCTGCACATTAAACAGAATCTGCTGAACTTGTATATATTGTACTGTATATATACCAAGTTAATTTAGAAAATTCTGAGGTAAAGATCATTATTAATAATAAAAGACAGCTGTATAACTACTTATCTTCAGTTCATTTTTCACTAATTTATTAACTTAATCATTCTTATTATAGTCTGAAAATTACACAGTTAAACAGTTGTACATTTGGATACTTGATAAATATAGCAATGTTTAAAATGAAATATTAATAACAGATTGCTTTAATACTTGATAATGAAACTGACTTGTAAACAGTACTCATATACAAAAAATAACTTAAATTTAAAAAATCTTATCCAAACAACAAAAATTTGCAATAATTTACTTATTTTACTCAAAATTTGCTTTCTCAAATATTATCTTTTAATTATTTTCATCAAAAAAAAAATTATACTAAACTTGGTTTATAATAAATGTAACTTACTATAAATAGTACAGTATATGCAAATGTAATTTTTTTTAAAGATTTTGGTTATTTAAGTTGCATTTACATGAACTATTAATTTTAATAATAATATATCATCTAATTGTTAATATATTTTTAATTAATAATTTAAATTAAGATTAATAATAATTTCAATTTTTCTTGATCAACATTTTTGTTTTATTTTAACTACTGTTTTGTATTACTATCTGAATTGCCTAATTATAATTAGAATCTTCTCTCAAATTCATTTATAATAATATGCTTTTAAATATTTAAACTGAAATTTATGAAGAACTACTGTATTTGAAATCAACAGAATTTTTCTTTACAGTTTAGATTACATTTTCATCACTTAAAATGCTTTCAACAAACTACAAAACAGATAATTATTTTGTTTGGTTTTTTTCCTCCACTCCCAAAGAATGTCGAAAATATACAGTATCTTACAATTTCACACTGCATTTTACTGTCTATGAGAAGTATTTATACTTATATTAAAAGAATATTGAATGCAGCAGAAACAAAACTTTTCAATTTTTTTAAATATTTAATTTTAAAAATTAAATTATCTTTGAGCAATAAAATTTATTATAAATCTTATGATAAAGATATTTTTAAATGCATAAGTTAATCAGTTCAATAAGCATGTATATAAAAGTTATTACTCGGATTTAAAACTGCAACTTTGCTGATACTATTGTAATTTCCATTATCTGCAGGTCCTTCTATAGAAATAGTCATGTGTACAGGAGAAGGAACATTGTGGACTGTTGCACTGATGTGATAATCAAGATTTGGACGAAGTTTTTTCGGTGCAACTACAGAGTATGTAGCCATATTATCTTCTAATCTTTCACTGTAAATAAAAAAAATTATTAAACAACTTTTTTACACACGTTAAAAGACAAAAAAAACTATACTTACATTTGTGCAAAAGATATCATTAAAAGTTGTGATAAAACAAACAGTAGAGTAACACCAGACTCCATTTTAATCTGAAATTGTTTTAATTTGAATATGATTAATTTAATAATCTACATTATTCAAAAATAAACTATAACTATATATTCCCAAATGAATTTGCATAAAATATGCAACTTATCACAAGGAAAAAACTAGTTAACCTATAAAATTATTCCATTTTAAGTACAGGTATATTAGGGTGTAACAGAAGAAGCGGCATTACGTAAGTTATACTCAGGGTTATTAGTGGGCTAGACCTGTTATTAGAATCAAGATAGGACTGTAAAAAATGCGCTTTCAACCAGGAAATTGTTATTTTCGATATATAAAACAATCAAAACTCATTAAAAATTTCAATGACAACAATAACTATTATCGATGGCAATTGCATGGTAGACTTTTCCTCCATGCGATTGTCATTTTCATCATCAGCATTCCAACTTACGATTTCTTTCTAGCTTGTGCGCGATATGTAGGAAAAATTAACATAGCTCACGAACAAATACAATATAAATGAAATTTTTTTACGGAAATTTATTTTTCCCGTTCTTTGTCAAAGTGAACGTCATTCGAATATAATTAGGTTATTATGTGCACAGGTGCACCTCATTACATCATCTTCGTACACACTGGATTTTCCATTGTGTATACAGTATACAGTACAAGGTTACATTATGAAACAGAAAATGATGTTTTGTCTATCGAAAAACTAATTTTTTATCGATTTATACACTAAATATAGCTTCGATTATGTGTAATATCTAATAGTCTAAACATAACTATGATCCGGTTACATCGTATCCGGATATGCATAGACATAAAGACATTGAATTACATTGCGAAATCTTAATTTACTATAGACTTTTGTTAAGCGTAGTCAAGCAGAATGATTCACAAAGTGGAAGAACATGTTTACTTAGATCTTCAGTAGGCGTGTAGACGGTTTGGCGGGAGTTTTCTTTCACCTATTTTAAAAATACGCCCGCTAATTCCCAGAAATAATCGTCTAAATTCTAATAAAAATATTAAATTATAACCAATTTTTATTACTGTTAATTATCGTATTTTAAGATATTAACGGTTAGATTTTTATTAATAAAAATTTTTAATTCAAGTTCAAGGCCACGGCTTAAAAATATTTTCACAGTTACACAAATATGTTAAAGCTGATTGGTTAGAGAATATTGAAAGATTTTTCAAGTGTTTTAAAAATAAGCAAGGTTTAAATTCTTTAAATTTTTCGACAGATGTTAGCTCAAATTTCTACTTGTCTACGTGCCTGAAACGATTTTTAAGACAGACACACATTTTTCCAGGAAAGGGGAAAAATGTTAAAGAAAATAAAAACTTTCAATAATAAAATAAGTTTCGAGTGTCGAATAATCATTGTTCGGTACGAAATTGCAAATTAAGTATGACACTTCACGACAGTCCATAAACCTACTTCCATTTAAACAGAAATTAAACAGGGGATTTCTCAACTTTTTTCTTTAAAAATAATTGCAAAGTAAAGCGAAATATTTTGCAACTGTTATGTAATTATTAACTTTTTTATCATTATTAAAAACTTATATTCAAATTTGAGAAAAAATATATATAGAAAGATAATGAATGACTAGAGCCACAATGTCAAAGAATATCCTACAAAGTATAATAAACAAAAATCAAGTATGGACCGGTGACTATTAGATATTCCTTATAAGGAAATAAATCACGTGGATATTGTTTATTATCCGGTTTGAGGTCAAATGTTGCTACCAAACATTAAACAGACGCTTGTTTTAGAAACGACAAAAATAAAATTAAGATAAGGATAAGAGATCGATATTAATCATTTCTTAATCCACTCGACTTATTCGAATGATGTAAAATATTTCCCCCTTCTATTGAATATTTTTCTTGAAGAAAATAAACATTTGCAACCTTCTCGAAATGTATAGGTGTGGAAAATGTTTTAAACAGCCGTCTCTTTTCAAATATAGGATGCAATGAACAAATTCTGTGACGTCGGAAGGCATTCCAATTGACGTCATGTACAAATTCTTCAGTGACGTCATCTGGAACTCCTAATATAACGCGGAGGAAAAAAAAGTCGTGTTTATTTTGTCATCATTAAAAAAAGCAATACTTAAAATTCATTATTAAAACGGATAAGCAGTTGAACTTTCTCTAGACGTGACGATTATCTTCAAATATTTAAATTTAGCGAAGAATTTATCAATGCAAATCATTTTTTTTTTATTTTTAAAATCAAAAGCATGATGTGCAAATATAAGACAGAAAATTATATTTAGAAATTATTCAACCACGTCAGATGATATATAGGCTATAAATATAATAAAATAGAATTTTGAAACAGTAATTAAGACAGAATCATCTCTGCTTTTTAGTTACGAAACAAAAATTATTTCCATATAATACATAAATAAGGTCAATTTAATCCTTAACAAGTGTAAGGTATTGTAGGAGTCGATATCAAATAATTCCGCTGATACAGATTAAATAAATAACTATAGACAACGTTGATAAATGTACTTAAGTGGTTTTGGATGTTTTCATAATAAGCAGACTCACTTGACCTCAAGCTACTATATCTTGCTATTTGAAATCCAAGAGAAACGCAATATAAACAAATTTTGATAAAAATAAATATTTAAAACTAATTTCTGATTTTTATATTTACAGGCAATTTTTGTAATTAAATAATTTGCGTAATTGGACTCTGTTGGAAGGAGCATTTTTCTTTATTCTTCTCTCGTTAAGAGCGCGACTAAAGATCAAAATCTAATAAGTGTATTTGATTAAATCTTGAAAAATCTTCAGAAATCAATTTTAGAATTTTAAATTAAGTTTTTCCTTTATTTTTACTAGAAATTATCAAGGCAAATAATTAGCTTTAGATGCTATTTACTTATTTACGTACAGTACTATGTAAAAAGTTAAAATACTAATTATAAACATAAGTAATGTTAAAGTTTTAAAAATTTGAATTCTAATGATGTGTTTGAATGATAAATTATTAAGGAAATATTTTAATGAAAAAATTATACCGAAAACCTCGTTTATAATTGAAGAAAAGACCACGATATTTCATGTAATGAATTATTGATGTTTCAATTTTTCATGTGTAAGATCATGAAAAATAAATAGGTCTCACGATCATTTTTCTTTAAACAACTTTATTTGGAGCGTTTTAGGGAATTTCACTATTCTTAGAAACTCAAATCCTCTAGAAAGGATAGGAAGTGAGTAGATTTGTTAAAATTGTAGGACCAGATAACACTTGTTAAATAATATTTTAATAAATCTGAATGTCAAAAGTGCAATTTTTTCTAAAATATAAAATAATAAAATATCTCAGTTTTGTAAATGAGGTACATTTCACTTAAGATACATATTGCATTTGAAAATGACTCAATAAATTCAATTGTTTTAGAATTAATTAAAAATTATTTGCTGTTGTCATTTTACTAATGACTAACAGTAATGTTAGCAAAATGTAATTTCAACAGAACCTTCAAATTAAGCAATAATCCAAAAGTTCAAATATTTTGTTTTCATAAAATTCTTAGCTTAATCAGCACAAATATCAAATAAATAATCTTTGGAAGAACAAATAAGGCTATGATAAAATGATAAAGAGAAGTTTCGTGAAGTTTATTACAAGAAAAAAATATTATCATCCATATTATAAAAGGTGAATATCATCATAATCATTCTTTGTTTACAGCAGATATTTTAATTTTTACAAGAGAAAAGCATAAATTTATCAAATTATAATTTTTTATATTTTAAAATATTTTGTTTTATATTGCGATGGACAAACTTATCATCAAATCTTAGTAACAGAATTAAGAAACTAATTTTATTTAATAAAAATATATATTTTTTAAAATTTATAACAAAGAAAAATAAAAAAGTAACTGATTTGGCAACCTAGTTTTACTTTTTTCGTCCCAGAATAAGTTTAAATTTCCGTTCAGGCAAAATGTTTTTGAATTGGTAATTTTTAATGGAAATTTTAATTTAAGGTGTGCCTATAACTATAAAATGTAATTATCATGCTTAATTGCACTAATAAAATTACCTAACAAGAGAGTTCCATATATTTTAATAAATTTAAATATTTTTCTGCACTAATAAATCACGAAAACAACAACAACAAAAAGAAATGCATTTTAAATTACAAGTTAAAATAGCCAGAGATGAATTAAAATTTAAAAAAAAATTGAAAGAATTAGGAAAAATATTCAAATAGTGTGTCAAATTTATCTTCTTGAAATTTTTAAAGGGTATTTACACTTCATAAGTAGGAAAAAAAATCGTCGAGTTAAATTTTCAAATAAATAGCTAAAGCAATAAATTACACCGATTACTTAATTTAGGAACTTATAATGTAGAGCATCGCGGGTTAAATTGTTCTCTTAACCTTTCAGCTTGTCGAAATATCTCTAGTGGTCCAAATTTCGCAATCTCTGCATTAACACATTGAGGCCGGCAATTAAAAAAGGATATTGTATCCTGATATAGTCAGGTTAGAGGTTTTCAAACTATCGGTCGCGACCCGGCGGGGGCCGCCAACAACACTATTTACGGCTATGTTAGCATCGAGAAGAGGCTCGAGGCAGGTCTCGAGTAGAAAAATACCGGAAAAACACTTTTAGAAAGCACCGAATTAGTTTAGACAATTCCATTAAATTTTCATTTCGTCCAATTTTCGAGACTAAGAACGCCGAAATAGTTTATGTTTCGCCAATTCAATAAAAATGCAATTTGTATTTTCAATATAATTCAAGCAGAACTATAAATTGAAAACCATCGGCAACTAAATTTTTCTTTCGGATATTTTATCGACATTTCCGTTAGCAGAGACAATAAAAATTACTCAGGTTTTCCCTCGGGAGGAAAAGAAAAAATAAATAAATAAAAAATAAAAGCTATCTTGTGGAATAATGGATCTAGATAAAGAAACTGTTTACCAGTCAATCACCTTTAAAATTCTTAAAAACTCCACACACACTCGAGAAATTAAATTATAAAAAAAAGTTTATAATTTATTGAAAAATTTATTAAATAACTTTCCTTCAGATTACAGCTTCCTGATTTCGTTATTATTAGCATACTGTTAGGTTTTGACGTAACGAAAACAAATGAAATGTTACAAATACAATTACAAAATTCCAAACTATTAAATTTAGATTTACATAAAATAAAAGTTAACCATAAACCCCATCTATTTAAATGTCTCGGTTTGGTAATTTTAACAAATTTACATCGACCAGGATGCATTTACGTCACTGATACGACGCCTGAATACATATCAGAATGTACAAATACATCGCTATTTTTAAACACGTGACGCAAAACTATTCAATCTTATTAATAAAGGGAACAGTACGAAAAAATTTTTGAGAATGCTTTTATACATAAATTCATTATTTTTTATATTCGTTTCTAATGCATTTTTAAGTAGGCTACTTTCGTGATTATTTCCTTGTTGTTGCATGCATGAAATAAGTTACGTGCAAGTAAAATTTAACATATTTTGTATTAGAAAACCATAATAACTATTATAAAATTTATTTTAAATTTATACCTATAAATGTGTGTATTTTATACTTACGTATGCGGTATTATTCCTATCAATGATAAACTGTTATCGGCCCAACAGTTTCCTCCGTCTATTTCTCAATGGCATGCAAAGACTATGAATGAATTATTTTCTAAGAAACATCTAAGAAAAATCCCCAAAATTCGCATATTTTTAGGAAAATGGCGAATTTTAGGGATTTTTAGATGTTTAATAGTCTGGAACCAGTTCCGCCAAGACGGCACATTGCTCTATATTTATAACTAGACTAGCTGATATCGCTCAAGTTTTATTATTGTAGATAAAAGTTGAATATTTTAAATTTACGTAAAGTGGAAGCTTATTTCAATTTCTTTAAAAATTCTTCGCATTACAATATTTTAATGCCCGATTAATGACGATAAAATTGACGAAATAATTTCGTCGTATTAAACTTCTGCAACGGAATTTACGATCATTTAAAGTGTAATACATAAACGAATGTAGAAACTTGTGTACTATCCGATCTATCGAATCATTTTTGAGTTCTCGAGGAAATTTGATGGATGGAGATAGTCGAATGAAAACAGGCTACTTTCGCTATAAAAAGATGTAATGTACCTGTATTGAACTTCGATAGAAATAGAATTTAAAAAAAAAAAGTCGGTAAGTTTCTTATAAATTCACATCGATTTTCAGTGTCGGACATTGTAACAAGTTACCTACGTTATTTTAACACGATAACGCCAAAAAATTATAGAACTAATGTGAATCTAAGGAAACATTTTAAAGCGATAAAAAGAAATAAATTATTTCTGGAGGCATTTTAATACTCCGACAAATACTTTGTCTGGATTTATATTTAGAATTCGCTCTCCAAAATTTTGCAGGCTAATGATGCGTTTGAAAAATGTACCGCGATTGATAAATTTAATTCCGAAATTTGTCTTTCGAAGAATAACTTGAAGTGTTTAAATATCGCCAGATGTTTTAATATTTAATTAATTTTTTCTTGTTTTTTTTGCATACATTTTTGAAACTAATTTTGAATGTCTATTTACCTAAGTGTTCCAAGTACCGCGTAGGAGTGCCCCGCAATTCGGTACGACAAATTTCTTAGTAAGAAAAATGGGTCAGGCTATTGTACTAGACACGTAAGGATAGTACGTTTGGGTAAAAATCTATGATAAAAGAGAAGTGCCAATTTTAAATGTATAGTGATTCAGATCGAAAATATAGGATCTGATTCGGGCGTCCTCGAGTTATCCTCGGTTATTGAATGATAAATTGTCCGTAGGCGAACGTGACTCATTCATAACCTAAAGTAATCTCTGTTTTAGAATCGATATGAACATTTTTGGATAAAAAATAATGGAAATATTTTTCTAGGTGACAACAGATCAACAAGTTTCAGCTCCGCAAAGTGTAATAAATTAGGAATTTTAAATTCCGTTTCATAATGAATTTCAATGCTTCTATTTATAGCTCATTAAAAGTAATGTCAAGGAAATGATGACTAGAAAATTTCCGTGATGTCATTTAAAGTATAAATCGTTGTAAAAATTAATCACTTTTAAAAGCGATTACATTGTGACGTTAGTAACACATTAGAACTGTTTATAATTAAAATTATTAAGAGAAGGAGTTTGTGTATAGTTAGTAAAATCCTAATAATCAGATTCAAATATAATTGATTAAAATCAATTTATAATTAACTATTTAATTCTGTTTTGATTTTTTTTTCTATTATTAAAATCTAAAAAAAAAATTATTTTGCTTAAATCAATACTGGTAACAATTCTAAGTATTTTTAAAGATAAAATACAGAAATTTAATAAATTAAGCTAATTAAAAGTACATCTTAAAAATTTTATATGAGAATTAAAGTTTAATGCTAAACAAGATCTAAGAGTAGAGTTTCTATTTTTATTTCTAGATAATTTGATCAGTATTTATATTTAAAATAAGTTAAACCAGACGGGCAAAAATTCAAATTATATTAAAATAGGTTAGAGCCACCTTGACATCAACTGAGATTTATTATTTAGTACTTTTGTACTCAGCATCTAAGCAGAACCACTCGAGATACCTTGACACGAAATGAGTTAATCCATGCTTTACTTTAGTGTTAAAAATTATAATTATTACAATTCTAGTTTTAAAAGACATTTTTTTGTCATTTCTTATAACAAAAAAATATTCGAGACTTTTACTTGTTTTTAATACAATATCAAGGTTTCGAGTCAATGTACTTGTCTTGACAGGTGTCATTGCACTTGACATACGAAATCACCAAACAATAACGGGCATATCGAACAATGAACGGCATAGAAAATAACTGACCCTTCGCTACGCAATCTTCACGGAAGTTAACATTAGTATATTATTGATGGAAAAAATTAGCAGTGAAATTTTATGCATGTAGATTTTCGTGACTGGAACCAATAGACAGATCGACTATTTCGGGGTTGACGTCTACGTCAGTTGACCCGACTGATCTCGATGCGGAAGTATTACCGTTTTGGCGTTACCGAACGACACGTTAACGGATGCGTTAACGCAGACAACTAAAGAAACGTTGCGTATTACAACGTTAATCTCCAGATGATCTTAACTACGCGTAACTTGTTGGAGTGGGGAATATTTATTTAATAAAAAAATCGGCTAGTTCGATATATTTTTTTTGTTGTTTTATTCGGAAGAACACGAAACAAACGAAGATGCGGTTCACCGATTTCCCATTACCTGGCTCTTGTTAGGCAATTTAGATAATTGGATAAACGGAAATGTTCCAAATGCGGCACAAAGCATGAAAATATGGATAAATGAGAGTAAACAAATCACTTCTAAATAATTTATTTACTTAACGTTCGGAAAATTATTTTTAATCTTTCTCGTTGCCAGATTAGGTAAATGGCGGAGAAACGTATTTAAAAAAAAAAAAAATTTAAGATTCTACCTCAACTAGTTTTCAAGGTCAACTCTATACTTTCCTCTTAACTTATAAGAATCAATCCCTCTTATTATTATTTTTTTACTATTAATTTTAACAGTTTAAAGAATTGTTTACGGTTTTAAAAAACATATTAAAGTTTAAACTATGGTTTAAATATTTTTTGAAGTCTTTAAATAGATACGGAAGTAGTTTTTGGCGTTGTCAAAAGCAAAATAAGGTAACAGAAAAGCAAAGAAAAACCCTCCATATCAACATAACATCGCATTAAAGTATTTTTATTTATATAAAAATACCTGTATACACTTTCCGGTTTTAAAAAATCCTTGTTAATCTAATTTAAAAAAAAGCGTCTTTGACAGACAGCTTTTGTATAATTGTTATCGATTAATTTATATACAATTGTTTAGATTAAAGTTATTCGTAAAAAATAATGCGTATTAGAGTCCGGAGAATAGAGAAAAGGAACGAATTACCTGTATTATTGCGATATATTCAGGAAATCCGTTGTTTTAATCACACCTCTTTGACAAGCGAGTTTTGAATAAACGTGATTTCTACCTCTTCTACACACACTTCGTTACATGGCCCTTTACCTATGCTAGCGCCACCTAATGGAAGGAATGATTTCGGTGTGGCGCCATCTGTCTGACACTAAAACCTATGCGTAATTGTCGAGACACGTGATTTAAGCGCCACCATCTGTGCATTGTTACCTTAACAGTATCATTTTACTGTACTTAATAACAATAAAATTATTCAAAGCGCTTGTCAATTAAAAATACGTTTAAATACCGTAAATGTTTTTTTCCGTTTTAATCAATGAAAATTTAATGATTATTTTTATATATTTTAATAATTAAAATAATCAATTATAAAGTAATCTTCGTAGAAACGTCTTCTTTCTTTCGGAGTATGCCGCTAACTTCGAAAATAAAATATATTACTTCCTCAATAAATAATGACAAGTTTTTTAAAAAATTGGAATTTAAAAATTTATTTTTATAAAATGTAGCTGGGCTTCGTTTTATCGAAGTCGCTAACGAACTGTCAAGCGTGGATACAATCGAGATGTTATTTATTACGAGCAGTAAACCTTAACGAAGTTTTTCAGAAGAGTAAAAATAGGATGCAAATTTAAGTTTTTCATGCTGTTATTCAATTATTTATAATTACTTTAGATTTCTTATCATTATTACTACAATTTTTTATTTATTTAAAAGAACAAAATGTATAATTATATTTCATAATTGTTTTGTAAATTAATTATCTAAAATACGAACTTTGTGTTACGCATAACGTTTCACTACTTGCTATTTAATTGAAATTGTGTTTTATTGCTTAAATTACTAATTTAGTACCCGAAATAGGTCGCTAAGTGAATCTGATTCATAAAACATAAGAGTTTGGTCGTCTGGGATTTAAAAAAAAAAACTGTTTAGAAAAAATTGTTTATTGTCTTACATTTAATTATATTCCTGGACCGTAACGCAAATCAATTAACGAACACACACACACAAAATCATAATTAAAAAGAAAATTTAATTTTTATTATCTTCTTGTAATAATTTAACTCGTTAAAATATTTTTTCAAATGTTAACAAAAGCATAAAATTAGAACACAAATTAAATTTCCATTTTACTAAATGCTTCAAACATTTGGAATAGACTATATAAATGATCAATTCAAATTATAAATAATTTATAATAATAAAAAAAACATTAACTGGAATGATATAAATTACTTCGAAACACTTATGATTGCACTCAAATTTTTTAATTAAACATCAATGTTTATTGTTTAAAGCTCTTGTAAGCGTGGTAAGCATCGTAGATATGTATCAAGCAACTGGCAATTCCGAAAACCTGAAAGAATAAAGATATTTAAATCATAATTTAATAATAAAAATATATGATCAT